ATATATTTCCATATATTGATGTTTTACTAATCTGAAAGGTCCAGTATAAAATTTTAAATTCAAAAGTATGTGTATTTTTCAATTTTAACAGAATCTAAAAGATTTATTTGGACTGAGAATATGCTTGTTGTTACAGTGCTTGTCTAAAATGCGCAAGCCCCCGAGTTCAATCCCTAGCACTGCAAAAATAAAGAATAAATTAGTGAAAGATTACTTTCTAAAAAGTTGGTGGTATATTTCATATTTTATTTGCTAGATAAATATTTGTTAAGCACACACTCTGAGCCAGGTACTGCTTTAGCCATTTGGATTCAACAATGAAAGCAAAGATCCCAGCTCTCAGAGATGTCACACTAGAGGTAGAGTAGGGAAAACAAACGAAAGCACAATGCCTAGAAAAAATACCGTTCTCTCTGGGACCTGTGCCAACAATTTTGCCTTGCTTTAACATGAATTATTGGCATTTTATTCCATTTACGTATTTATTTTTGCTAGTCTAATGCAATATGATATATTTTATTATCTCCATTTGTATTTTGTGCTTAGTAAATAATATTTTTCTTGTGTTCCCTTTGCTATCTGGATTTGTGTTGCATAATTTTTATGCATTTTTCTATTGAGTAGATTGGTGCCACACCATACTTCTTGCCAGTTTTCGTGAGCTCTAAATGTATTGTAAATAGACATTTTTCTGCCTTACGTTCACAAATCTATCTTCCCCCCGCCAGCCTATTACTTGTTCTTGAGTTTGATGAGTCTCTTTTACCAGACAATAGTTTGATGTTTATGAGCTTGTGGATGTCTTGTTCTCTCTTAAATTCTGGCTGTTCTATTTTGTTAATAGTTATCACCAAACTTGGGTTATATTTATAGTTTAAGTTTTCTTCCAATAAAAATTTAAAAAATATACAGTAATGGCTTGGTTCACGAACAATTCAGTTTGCAAACAGAAGCATGCAGCAAAATTTTGCTTGCATTTGCAAATTCTACATCAGATGATGAACACGAATGTAGTCATCTTCTGCAGAATTTTGGAATGAATTAAGTTTCTGAACCGAGGCACCACTGTATTTTTAAGTATACATGGATTTTTTTCAAGCTGGGGATCAATCCTAGGTCCCTGCACATGCTAGGCCAGTGATCTACTCCTATGCAATACTTCCAGCTCTATTTTTTAATAGGGTGTGAAGTAAGGGTTCGATTGTATTTTCTTCCAAGTAGGTAATCTTTTCCCAATATTATTTATTAAAATAAGCCATCAATTTTCAACTGAATTAAAATAGCACTTTTTCATATATGTGGTTCTCATATTTATCAGTGTCTGTTTGCATGTTTATTATTCTATTCCACTGGTTATATGTCTATTCTCATTCCCGTTTCATGCTATTTTGATTATAGACTTCTTTTTTATGATTTTAAAGCTAGGATTAAGACTTTATTTGGTCAGGTAAAGTTTAAAATAATTATATCCAATTACAAATTTAAATTATATTTCAAAGTACATTCAATTCATATTAGAACAAGAAAGAAGTCATAATCAAGAAAGAGAATAGATTAAAATAGTTACAATACAACATAAAACTTAATGGCAACAGATGGGTAAACACGGAAGGAATGGGAGATCTCTATAAATCATCAAAATGGCAGATGGCGGAGGGAAAATGGGAATGGGCCAATTCTTACAGGAGAAACTGGAAATGTGTTTAAAAATCTACTATGTGGAATGGCCCCAGAAACAGATGAGTTAACACCTGAGTCCTACCCAGCCTTTGCAGAGGATGCAATCCCAATGCCATTACACTACTCCCACAGAATGAAGGCAGAGAGCTCCCGAATACCGTTAAGGCTAACACCTCGTACACAAATCCCCCTGAGAATGGTGATTCTTGCTCTAATAAGATAGTAGTATAAGTAGGATCCATTCTTGTCGAAAAGACTAACCTGGTGCAACCATTTAGCCTTTTAAGCCTTGATGTCTACAAATGATGTTAACAGAAAATTTACCAACACAATTCACTACATCAACAAAGTTTTTAAAAACTGGTTACATTAACAGATAACAAGTAAGCATCTGTTCAAAATCAGTAGTTATTCCTCATACAAACACTGAATTCCATATCCAAACTTCTAAAATGAAAGATTTCTGAAAACGGCAGTGTTGCTTGTGATTTGGACACCATAGCTCATCGGTGGTAATGCTGATCTGAATTAACATAAAGAAACATTAAATATGAAAGTGTCATATTGTTCTTTAAAATGTAAAGGGTGTTCTGGCAAAGCATACACAAAATGAGCATACTTGTGGATTAGTTACTGTGGCTATCTGTCCTCTACTCAAAATTATTGTAGTCTTCTTTTGTCAAGGTGAGTTAAGGGAAGGATAATGTGAGGAATGTTTCAACTCCTTGGAAGAAATGTATGGCTGGGCTTTATTAAATCCAAGGCAATACTGGGAGGAAGCGAATATTTATTTCATGTATCACTAAAAGGAAAGAATGCTATAGTGATTGCACTATGAAGAGTCATCAACTGTAAGATACCTCCTGGTTTCAGAAATGTTGAAATGTAAAAAGGGGTGTATCTTAGAACTGGTGAAATACGGTACCTATACCCAAAGGGTAAATGAAAACCTAAATCTTGGGGCAGCTGTAAGCACAGGGCTGTGGTGGTCTCAGGTCAGACTGGACTCAGGGCTGGTGCGGCACTGGCTATGGGGTGGTTGTGGAGGGGCTGCTTAGTGTTGGGCATCACCCTCCCTGAAGAGCAGGCCCAGCTCGAGTGCGGTGAGGGGGCCGGGTGGGGTGGTCTCTGGGGTCTTCCAACACCCCGCGTGCTGATTCTCTACTAGAGAACAAACTCGACCACACTTTTCTCACCTCTAGAGTCTCAGTATTACAGAGAAGCAGTGAGTGACCTCTCAGTCTGCCCTATGTGTAAGATGTCTCACCTGAAGAACCTACTAGAACCTCCGGCTGTTCCAACAAAGCCTCACTATCTACAAAGCAGCCTGGAGCCCAGAGAGGAGATGTGACCTCCCTGGCCGCTCAGCCCACCCAGTGGCAAAATAAGACTAAAGTCCAGGCCACTGACTCTAGAACCGGCAAGACTGCCCTGCCTGGGTTTCTGTCCCAGAGAACTGGGGTCCACCCCAGAAGTGTCTGGCCCTTGCGTCAGGCCCAATGATTGCTGTGTCCTAAACAGTCATCTCTCCTCTCTGAGCCACTTAAAGGTTACGGACACCGGCCTAGCTCGCCAGCCCCTGCTAACCACACTGATAGGAAGGGCGGTGGGGGGGGGCTCCTTCCTGCAGAGATCTCAGGACCCGAGGCCTCACGCAACATCTCCTGTGTGCTGTCTGAAGGATGGGGCTGCTGAGCAGCAAGAGGCAGGTCACCGAGAAGGGCAAGGGCTGGAGCCCTGTGAAGGCCAGTTCCCGGAGCCAGGGTCCCCCGCCTCTACCGCCCCTGGTGAGTGACCGGCCCTTCGGAGCAGACACGGGCGGGGCACACGGGGCTCCTGGACCAGGCCCTCTGCAGCATTTCCAGGGATGCTGGTTTGGGATGACGGTGTCCCGCCCCGCTGCTCGGCACCCAGGCTCTTGTGGTCTGGGCAGTGGGAGTCAAGCCTGGACGCACCTTCTGCTCTTGGATGGGCATGTCCAAGTGGGCCTTGTCGCACTCTGAGGGGCCCTCTGGGACAGAGGCTGCATTTCCCATTTCCTGTCCTCCCGAGCCGAGCCCCAAGCTAGCACAGAATGAGATGATGTGTGAATGAATGTGTGGCCCAGCGGCTGGACCTGGACAGCTTGAGGGATTGCCGCAAAGTTATAGGCTAATAAGTAGCAGGCATTTTTAACTTTACAAAGCCTCATAATATATACTAATTATGGAAAAATGATAATTCCTCATCATCCCACCTCTGGGGACACCCGAGTTAGCTCCTCAGAGCTCCTGTCCCAGCCCCTTTTCCATGCATCTTTCGTGTCATGGGTTCCTGTTTTTGAAGGAACCCTGTCATGCACACCATTTTGCAAATTCCACTTCAAATATGGATGCAATAAGTATAGAATTTAAGAAAGGAATAAACACACGTCAGGTTGAAAGAAGACAACAAAATAAACACATACCATGCCCAGCCACTTCCCACCCTCAGGAATAAAAAGTGACTGGTCCCTTGGAAGCTCTCCGCCTGCGTCAGTTTGTCCCCTCCGACCCAGGCACCCACAGCTCAAATCTGCTTATCATTCTTTGCTTTTTTTACAGCATCACACACACACACTCACACTGTGTAGTTTCATTTCTCACACTGTGCACTTTATGTAAACTGACTCCATCAGCATGCATTCCTCTGAGAATAGGGTTCGTCCAGCACTAGGTCTGTGAGTCTCACCCACACAGGCATCTCAAGCTATGGCTCATTCATCCACGGCCTGCCTGTGCCACAGTCCGTCTACCTCTGTCATGGGTCACAAGGGTCACTCCACATTTTAAAATGTTTCGTGCATTGCTCTTACCGTGATTGTTAGGCACATTCTTACTATTTCCTGGTACACACATGCAGAAGTTTATCCACACTATGTATACCTGAGTTTTAGGAAAATATACTTTAAAAATACTTTTCCTCGTCAACAACTGCCCTTTACAACTTCATCTTTGAGTGGCAGGGGCAGGATTTAAACCCAGGTGCCTACAGACATGGGCCTTCCCTACACGAGGTCAGGTGAGCCCCAGGTCTGGGACTGTCGGGGACATCGGTGATGCCCTGGAGTCACTGCAGAATTTACCTGCACAGCCTCCGCAGGCATCTTGTCCACCTTCCTTGTTTGGAGTGGACCTCACAATAATCTAGCCACAGGCTCTACCCTGTGCTCCTGCGGCCAGCTCTGCCCACACCGCAGGCTGGGGAACTAACTCAGTGTGTGGCTTTCTGCCCAAGGTTGTCTTTAACCACCTGACCCCTCCACCTCCTGACGAACACCCAGACCAAGGTAAGAAGGGGACACTCCCTCCCCAGGGCCCCGGCTTTGTGGGGCTGGAACAGGGACAGTCTAGTGGGCCCTAGAGTTGGAGGGAGGATGCCCTGGCGGAAGCTGACTTGGCTGGCTCTGTCCCTGGCTTCATCTGCCTCCTGGGGTCTCTCCAGGAAGCAAGCACAAGTCGTTCAGAGTCCCTGAGACTGTGGGATTAAAGTCAAGACCTTACAACCTGTAAACCAAAACATGAGGAAAGAGCTACAGGAAGTACAGGAGCCATCTCCAAGCCTTAGCGCCTTTCAAAGAGACTTAGCGCCCAGTTCAAGGACAGCTGCCCCTCTGCCCCATGTGGAGGCCCCCGGGAGTCTCCCCCTCCCAGCCTGTTTAGAAGCCGCCCCTCCACCACCCTCCACACCCACCCGCCCTCCTCACCAGACTCCACTTCTGCCTGGTAGGCAGGGTGGTGCTGGAGACACAGGGCGCTATCGAAGCTGTCCCAGGCCAGGGGCTCAGACATCAGGGGCTCCCAGGGTAGGCCCTGGTCCCGAGCTGGCTCGCCAGCATGCTGGCACAGTGTCCACACCACAGCGGAAGACCACAGAGCTTGCAGCGCTCCCAGGCCTCCCGTGCCTGTCACAGGGACTGGAAGGGACCGCGGCTCAGGGGAGGGCTGGGGCCAGGCGGCAGGGTGTTGGCAGCTGGAGGAGCCTCAGTGAGGCTCTGAGCACCAAAGGTGTGAAGACTCAGGGCTGAGGCTGCCTGGTGCCAAGTCACCCTCTCTTGGGGGTGGGAGTGGGTCTGCGGCCCTCTGGTGGCAGCATGGCTGCCTCCACAAGGCTGCCCCGGTGTCTCCATCAGCCTGGGCCTTCTGAGGGGCAGCCCACCCCTGGAGGGGACCCCCGGTCCAGTCCGGAGAACTTCCTCTTCAGGAGCGGTGCTAGGGGAGAAGCTGCCGGGGGCTCGGCTGTCCCTAACCCTCCTGGTGGCCGGAAACGGGCTCCCGTACCCCAGCCCAGTCCCCACCACCCTCTCCTAGGCTGGACCGGCTGCCATGTCTTCCTTGTCCTTCCAGAGGAGCATTACGTGATGGCCCTGTACGACTACACTGCCGTGAGTGACCGGAACCTGCAGATGCTGAAGGGGGAGAAGCTGCAGGTCCTGAAGGGGTGCGTTTCCCGGGTGTCCTCCCCGACAGGGCCCCTCAGCCTCACTGCACCCCAGCATCTTATTCTTGCCTGCTCAGCCAGTCACCCCGCCTTTTCTTAGACTTGACCCAGTTGCCGAGCCCTGCAAAGTCTCGCTGGAGAGGCGGCCCCCACTCGTGACATTCTCTTCACTCCCCGCGACACCCCCGCCGGTGTCACCTCCTGGGGCTCCCCCGGGGTGACCCTCCCTCGAGGGTTCCAAGCTCACCTCTGAGGTGAGCTCACCTGCATCACGAGTCCAAGCAGCTTTGTCTGGCTTCTGCTCTGCCCGTGGAGGCACTGCAGCCTTGCTCTCTGCCAACCGTACTTTGTCCCGTGGAGCCCGAAGACCTGCCTGACTTTGTCCCTGAGGCCCCACAAGGCCTCGTGCCGAGCATAGGAAGGCTCTGGGCTCTTCATGGGCTGCCTCAGGGTCCCCCCTGCTTCACAACCCTCCAGGCCAGACCCGACTCATTCTCTGAGTTCCGGACAAGGCCAGTGTGGCTAGGGGTGGGACCCTCCTGCGCCAGCAGGCAGCCTGCACAAATTCCCCCAGGGCAACGTCTTCCCTCTTCCCTGAGGCTCCAGCCCACTGGCTGACCTCCAGAGGAGAGGAGGAGAGGGTCCGGAGACCCGCTCTCCCAAGGCCATCTCCCCTCTCCCTCAGCACCGGAGACTGGTGGTTGGCCAGGTCGCTTGTCACCGGGAGAGAGGGCTACGTGCCAAGCAACTTCGTGGCCCCAGTGGAGACCCTGGAAGTAGAAAAGTAGGTGGACAAGGGAAGCCCTCTCACGCCGAGGGGTGGCCACTGCCCCTGCCCTGCAGGCCGCGGTGTAGGGGGGGCCGTGGGACTCCATGGGGGACCAGAGAGGGGCGGGGATTGGAGCTGCTGGAAGAAGTCAGCCCTGGTTCCCAATGACGTCTCTGCCATAGTGTGATGCTCAGGGTGCTTGCTGCTCTTCCCATTGCTGAGAGTGTCCCTTCCCTGGCTGCCCCGGATGGAACTGTCCCCAGTGTCCAGCACCCTCCAGAGCTCACAGCCAGGCCTCTGGGAACAGGACTCAGGCCCACAGGGCCCAGGGTGCTGCTGGGTCCAGGGACTGCTTCCCAGAGCCCCATGGCCACCTCCACACCCACCAGGAAGGGTCGGCACAGCCAGGCCAGGGGGCCCATTCATTGAAGCCAAGGCCAGGAGCAGAGGCTGGGGAAGGTGTCCCGGGGTAACACACACCTCCCCCGACCCCCGCCTGGACTCTGGCGCCTCCACGCTGCAGGACTTGGGCTGAGGGGGCCTGGAGGGGAGCTGGGAGCCCTCTGGGATTTCAGTCACCGACAGATGCCCAGAGGCGGTTGT